AAAATAGATGATATAGTTTAAGTAATTTCGTACCAACACAAAAATAACCTTCACCTCAGCTTGTGAAGAAACCGAGGAAGAAACCCATTTCCACGAAATTATGTTTACAAATCCAAACAACAAAATTAAATTTAATACCAAATATTGCTTTTACTTCACTAAGGTCGTAACTTAAATAAGGGAAGTTATTTTCAAAATATCACGAACCATTCGGTGATTTAGTTTCCGGTTTTCATCAAAATTCTGGTGGTGTCATTTGTTTAGTGGAATACAATTCCTGGTGCTATGAGTCTGCTCCAAATGGGCGTGTAGGTTAGTTTTGTTTATATTTTACATTGTTGGTCAAAATAAACCGCTTATGCACCTAAGCGTTTGCTTTAAAAGAAATTATACCAAAGCCTTGCGTGCTGATATGCAAAATATCGAGGAAATATCAGCGGCAATCAGAGTCACATGGAAAAACAAACATAATGCGGATCAAAACCGAATCAGTATTGAAAGTCTATAAAGAAAGGTAAATATATCAGTAAAACACAACAAGTGCCTTGTAACCATTTAATTACTCTTGGTCTTAAAAGCAAGGTTTTTCCCGAAAAATATTGGAATGGTTCAAGTCCGCATAAGCCAAATTGAAATGTCTAGCTGAAGGGGTTTGGAAAAATCCTTATTTCTGAGGACCGCACGAAATTTGGTATAGAGTAAGGACTAAGAAATGTGGGAGTACGTGATGCTTTTAAATGAGCTGCAAACAACATTTAATAGTGTCACAGAGCGGTCCAGCAGGTTTTTACAGTTTTAATTTTGATTGTTTTTTTAAACATTCTTTGTATGCTCCGACATCGCGAGTCACGTTTTACATTTTGAATTTCGTGCAACCGAACATGATTTTTCGTAGAGGATTGGAGCCCAGCCGGCGAATAAAGGGAATTAAGCATGGTGGAAAAAGTTAAGTGTGAGACAAACAACCTCTCGTGGAAACCGAACGACTTTGAAACAAGAAATATCTTGCAAATAATTACACGCGTGTAGATAGACTTACCTTCTTTTCGGAAGCATAAAATCCATTCATGACCACTGAACCTGGGTAACTTAGTTGTGACAAGCATGAACCAGGAATGTTGAGGCAGTTTATAGTCGGTGCCATGTCACATGTGAACCGTTTTGACACCTTTTATCACGGAAGTCTTAATCCACTGTCCATTGGATATCTTCCCTCCAGGAAATATGGCTTTAGCCAAGCACCCATATGTTTAAAATACTATTCTGTAATGTTTGTTTGGGTGACAAAATTAAATAAAGTTCAAATTTCATGACTTTTAATACTCGGTGAAAAAGCGTGTTTCTATTTACATAAGGAACAATGACTGATCAGCTGCAATTCAAAACAGTTTACCTGTATTTTTCATGAACTGTAAGTTGCTTTTCACCGATTGGTTCCAGAGCCATATTATTTTCGTGTGGAACTTGCGATAAATTTTCGTATAGAATTCCTTGACGTCAGTTTTAACAATAGGGGTAGAAAGTGAACTTGGTGAAATTCTCTCTCCCACCTGCACATCAAAAAACCACTAGTAACCACGTGACTTTGTTTATTCAGTCAATATACACGAAATTTATTTTCCACAATATAATTCTTATCTCCACCTAACAAACACCAGCATGTCTTTACCCTACAAATTTTTTTTTTTTGGCCAGGAATTAAAATCAAAACACGCAATATTTATCTTGCAATGATTTTCTCGCCTCGGACAAGTTCTATTGTCCGTTTACAAAACCGCAGAGTCTATTTTCAACGCTAGAGCGTCGGTTGGAACAATAACAATGGAAAATGGACAACCAACCAAATTAACATGCAGCCAGTCTGTTAACATCTCAGCAGAAACACAAGGCAGCCAATCAGAGACTTTGTACTATGTGAAAGTCATTATTCAGTGTTGCGCGTGGGTTTGGCTTTATAGGAAGGCTCTCTCGGATGATAACAATAATTATTATACATTGAACTCAATATCTCTTTTCTGATTAGCCGAAAGCGTACAGTGAATTTTCGAAATCAGCGCCTGTGACGTCATAACTGCAGATTATACAATAATCAAGTCAAGGNCTACAGAAACCGGGATAAGCTCCGGCCTGATGGGCTACTTGGCTCGTATGCAGACTTGAACTTTTTAGTACATGTGTTTCAGTTAAATAAAATGGATGTGATCAGGAATTGAACTATCAAATAGAACTGTACGGTGTTTGTACGTTCCTGTACTGTGTTACAATGTGCATGTGCTTTAACCTATTCCTGCTGGAGCAGTAAACTGACTATCCAAAGACAAAAACTTGTTAAAATGTCTTTATTCCAACTTCAAAATTACTTTATTTTACATTTTTCAACATAATTATTACAAAATTCAGACAGAAGCAGCTGGGACACTTGATATTTGTTAAATTTAAGAAGTCCCATGTTTTTCTTTTCAACTAAAAAAGAAAAGGAACTAATAATTGTGAACAAGCAAAGCACACAGTAACAATTTCAAGCAAATTTACTCCTGCAGAATCACTGCGTATGCTTTGATGGATAAATGACTGTACGATGAAAAAATATCTGATTAGGAAGACTTTCCTGTCCCCTAAGACAGTGGCAGATCTAGGGGGGCCCAGAGGGCCCGAGCCCCACCCCCACTTATTTTTGGGGAAAAAAGAAGTAAATGACTGAAGGAAGAAAAGCCGACAGGGCAAGTAAAACAAAACCGGGGCCCCCCTTAGCTCAAAGTCTGGATCCNTTGGGTATAAAAAGAAGGAAGAAAAGCCGGCAAAGCAAGCAAAACAACCTCCCCTCCTTAGCTCAAGGTCTGGATTCCCCACCGCGAAATTCATGCATGTTGAAGGTATGAATCATCCAATAATTCTGACCTAATTAATAATGGGTAAGTTATTTGTATCTGTAAACTAATTGACCTTTTGATTATGAGCTCAATAGTGACCGAGGGTCGAATTAACTATCCCCTTCATAGAAATTGTTTATTCTTACTATTTCTAGTTTGTTCTTATAGCATTCAAACTGATTATAATTTCATTTAAATTATGATTTCCAGTAGTTTAATCTTCATTTTAAGCAGTATGACTTTAAAGCAAAATCACATGCAGACTGAACTATCAATTGAAACTTGCAGCAGTGCTTGCAACCTCATCAGTTCACTCAACAATTTTGAGATTTCTTTTTAAAGTAAGAGACACAAGAAAAAGTTGCCAGTTTGTAGAGAACATCCACCACTGCACACTGGTGACTAATTTTGTACAATAGAGCTCAGTCAATCAACCAATCAATCAATCAATCAAATCATCACATTGCAGTATTTGCATTGGTATACTAGTAGAATTCTACTTATGACTGCTAGTCCTCTGGCTGTCTTATGAAAATATAGCAAACAGCTCCACTGGTTGCACTGTTACGTACTTCCAGTGTCTATATCAGTTTCTTTCCTCGCATCTTACTACCCCAGATGGGGTAACAAAGAGCCTGCAATTACAGTTGACACTGCAATCATTTTACCAACAGTTGAAACAAAGAACAAGCTAAAAAAGGTAGGAATAAATAAGAAGTAGTATTGACTCTGGCTATACATGTTACATCATCATTATCACCATATCTACACCATGCCACTGCAAATGTATGCATTTTAAAACATGAACACCATAACATCAACCTTATCTCCTTCTGATTATCTAACTCAGCATGGTTCTTGTATCATAAATGTTTTTCCTCTGCTCAGCAACTGTTCTTTTCCATTTGGCCAACTTTTCATCAAAGTTTCTAATACTTCTTCCCCCTGGTCTAAGACGCAATCTTTCTTGTACCTGAAAGCCAAGAAGCAAACAATCTTTGACTGTAATTTTTGTGTCCTTAACTTTATCTTATTGTCCACAGTTTCGTTTTGCAATTTCAAAAGATAATTATTAAAAGCTATTTGCTCACAAGTTCCAGTCAGTGGTATAATGTGGCATAAAAACATAAAGATTGTGGACAAGCATTCTTAAATGACTTTTCAAGCGATTTTTGTTTCCTGAAATGACTATGTTGTTGCTAAAAACAGTAACCATCTCTCTAATACACCCATCTCCTACAAACAGTTCATCCTCCCTTTCTAATGCTTTTCACAAGAGGTAAGCCTCCCGTCCCAGGCCTGGTTTGTTCAAAAGGTGGATAAAGCTATCCACCAGATAAATCAATATCCAGCAGATAGCGTGGTTTATTTTGTCAACATTGTCTTGTCCACTATATAGTGATTTATCCAGTTCCTTCAAACAACTGGGGCCAGGAGGATAGAGAGATTTTAAAAAATGGTAAAGAAACTAATAATAATCACCTCATCTGCTGTGACACTTAACACAACTGGTTTCCGCTTGGAATCAATAAACAGATATAAGAGGTAGACTAGCAGAAATCCAATAACAACAATAATGAAGATAATCACTACCTGCAAGGAAATTAATGGAAAAAATGGTTACAAAAAAGTGAAAGAAGAAGGTGAAAGCCAAAAGCAGCTACGACCACAATAGGGCTGTAATTGAATAACAATTCTTTGCTAGGACAACAATGACAGAGTTCACCATCACTACAGTTCTACCACTAAAGCATACAAATGTAAGTCAATCAAAAACTTTGAAAGGCTAAATAAATGTGATATGTGTATGGAAGTCCCTGATTTATGAGTCAAATGAGTCTCTGAGTTGTAAGTCAATGAGTCAATATTATTACACTCCAGTTACCAGTAGCCCTAACAGCAGTCTGGTTAGCCTTAATATTTAATTGCACTTTGGTTAAACTAGACTACAAGTAGTCCCTCTTTTGCTTAGTCTAGGATTTTGCGTGACCCTTTTTTCCTCGCAGTTTTCTTTCGTGCCATGCATGATGGACTAAGAGAAAAAGGGACTACTCATAGTCTACATTCAGCCTAAATAGCACTCTGATTAGCCTGAGTTACAATAGTCCAATTAGGCTAAAAAGTCCTCCAGTTTGCCTCAGCAAGACTCAGATAAGACTAAACATTGCTCACACTACAATCCTGGTCACAAGTGTTGGGACAGTTCACAGCAGATGACTTCACAGGCAGCCTCTCTTAAGACCAAGACCGCGTAAGCCTGCCTACCCCCCTCCCCCCTGTCAATTTTGATAAAAATCTTGAAGGAATAAAACCTTGACAATAGCTTCAGAATAACCACGTTTCAAGAACTGTTTGCCTCCTAGAACTGTATTCTCCAACTAAAGAGACGATAAGATAGATATTCACGTCTTATTCCAATAATAACGATTTTTCAGCAATCACGTTCAGTTCCAACAAACCTGTCTAACCACTTTCTATTGACCCTTTTTCCTTTTTAACCACATCCGATCTAGTCATCAGAATAGCTTCATTTTCTTTCAACATTGCTAGGGGGGAGGGGGGTCAATTATACTTGCCTCTATTCATCTTTTTTTTCTAAAACGTCAAGGACATACTTGAAATTGTGGGTTTTAGCGTGCAAAAGGGGAGGTGTCCCAACAACTTATGGCCAGGATTGTAGCCTATTATGGCAAGCTGTCAATAATGGTAGTAGTAACACTATGTATACTTGAATGAATTGTTGAGTCATGACTCATGGAGTCATTTGACTGAAAAATAATTTGATCTCTAAACTACCTTTATGAGGGTTGTGTTCCTGGCTTCATACATACACTGACATCTTAAACAGAACTGCTCTTCTCTTTGCACAATTTGCTCACAGTTGCTGGAAAACAAAAATCATGCGCACTTGTAGCATCCTACCACTTATCTTACAATTAACGAAGAAGGTCACTCCAAAAAAAACAATATTTTTTGTCAACTCTAGTAAAAACCTTGCACTAAGTTTAGCCAAGAGTTCACCAAAGTTTCAGCCTCTAAAATGCAGGTTTTCTTGTGAAATTCATCTTTAAAGAAGCCCATTTTGAACAGTACTCAGCAGTCAGGCCACATTTTTGTGACCTCATTCTGTCCAAGAGAAACTGTCCAAATGGCTTCCGACAAGCCTTTTAACTGCCACTCTGGGTAATGGCTACTCTTGCGCCATATTATTTTGAGCCAAACAGGCTCCAAACTCTGAAATGAAAGCATTGAAGATAGTGAAGTGGATAATTGCTTGGTAAAAATAGATTTTGCTGACCTTGTGAAGGATGCCAAGTCAGTTGCACGTTTTTTCCCTTCCCGCCAATTTCGAGTTGGGTGGAATGACGTCACATAAACACAGCGTAGCTGCCAAGACAGTTTCAAAATGGCAGCTTCCGAAATCGCTTCTTTCAAGACAAATTTCTTCAGGATAGTGGGCACTTGAGAGGCTTAAACTTCTGTGAGTGGAAAAGCTGAATGTTTACTTACTATAGGCGAAGACAAAAAAAGTTCGCTTTTTGGGGTGACCTCCTTTTAACAAGGAAAGCTTTGTGAAAATGAATTTTACACGCATGTACATGGCAACACAAGACTCATGTGTTAGTTCCTGTGAAAGTCCAACAATCCATACTGTACATGCATTAAGTTTAGTGCCTGAATAGAAAGGAATAAAAAAATATATAACCCAGGGGAGGCACTTTCTATAATGGACTGATGTGGAGGCTCCACCCAAAAGGGTACAATGTACCTTTATCAGGCTCAAGGCGTATAGAAGGGTAGGGTTTCATAAGCTAAAATATAGAAAAAGTTAGTGAAAACTACACATACCATATTCTTTAAAAAGCCCCTTCAAAAATATCTTGCACAAACACATCTAACAGCTGAGTCATTTAAAATTAATATTCCAAGGGGTTACACAATCCAAGGTTATAGAAAAGGGATTCAGTCAACTGCTTTCCCTCCAATGCAGATACATGAAAGGGGTAGCACTTTCTATGGAAGTTGTAAGAACAAGTTGCCTTTTCTGTCAAAAGGGTATATAAAAAGGCAAGGGTTTAAAATTGTGTGTAGTGCCTCCAAATATAAAACTTTGTCGGGTACTCCCCTTCCCTGGGTGTGCAATATGAAAAGGAATGTGGAATGCAATAATATTGTAAAGACATTAGAGAAGTGACTAAAAAGACACAGCTGGGGAACCACTGTTCCTTATGTAAGTATTTGTCAATGCAGGTGAACAAAAAACTCTTAGTAGCCATAAAGGTACATGTAATGATATCTCCATCAAACTGCATGAATACTGCCAAATATTATTATTATACATTGAACTCAATATCTCTTTTCTGATTGGTCGAAGTGCACAGTGAATTTTTGAAATCAGCGCCTGAGACATCATCTCTACAGATTATACAATAATCATGTCAAGGACACTCAAGGTCACGGGTAATCATAGCAAGTTCGTGCGCTTTGTTTTGCTTGCCGTCAGTGAAGAAGCAAAAACATGACTTCCATTTTTTCCTTCAATGTATAATAAAACAATTATTAGATTCGGTTTTTGTGATATCCAGAATAATCAAGGTCTCGGTAAGGGTTATCAGCCACGGCCTTTG